CAGAGCTGATGTCAGATGTACAAACTACTCTGATGAAGCCTGATGGAAGTCTTGAAGAGAGTGGTGAAGAGCAGCGGCTTCGTAAATCTTTGGAGGAAATGGCAGATGAAGTGAAAAGCTCCAGTTTGCTGAGGGATTGTGGTCTTCCTGAGTCTGCACTGATAGCTATTCCAGAAAGGTCTACGGAGAATAGGTGGTCTTGGTCAGAAGTTAAACATCTCTCTGACAATCTAATTCTGGCTCTTGATGCGAGCTTGGAACACGCACTTCTGGTAAGATTTACTCTGACAACTGCTTATATCTGTGATGCTTGGACTCAACCCACCATCCCTTCTGTACCGGTGTCAACACGACACATCGTGCTGGTATTCTTTCATGGCAACGGGATGCTTGTCTTCTTCAATAATTCATTTGACTTCCTCTTTATTTCTCTCACTCATTTAACTTTTTTCAAAATTCTGAACAATAAATGTATTTGGTCACGTCAGTCTATTTTATTTTTTTATGAGAAATGTCAGTTTTGATTACTGAATTATTACTTGTGTGGGTACCATGGGCATTGGAACTAATTTATTTATTTATTTATTTATTTTTTGACCTAACTTCCCGTGATATACAAGCAGTGAAATAAATTTAAGAAACTGAGTTTATGAGCAACTACTCATTAATACTTGTATTTTATAAAATTTGTTCTAATTTTTATTTTATATTTTTATTATTACAGATAATTTGTTAAGTCTTTTTTTATTTTTTTTATGAATTTTCCAAATCTGGATCCATACCCAAGTCTGACACTTGTACCAGTCTGGATCAATACGCAAGTCTCACTCTTGACCTGAGTCCAAGCGTCCTAGGCATATAATGTGGAAAACAAACTGACACCCGAAATTGTTGTACTTTCTGCCTTTGGCTTGGCAGGGCCCTGTGATGAACATTGACAGATATGCTGCTGCAGAAAGCTTTTACAAACTTGCTGTAGCCTTTGCTCCTGTTCCAGATCTTCACATAATGTGGCTACTGCATCTATGTGATGCGCATCAGGAAATGCAATCCTGGGCGGAAGCAGCAGAGTGTGCAGTTGCTGTTGCAGGTGTTGTTATGCAGGTATACATCTTACTTTGATTTAAAAAGCCTCTGTCAAAATTAATAATTACATTCTTCATTTACAATGATGTTTTTAGTGTTTAACCTTCTTCCTATTACATATCCCTTTGATAAATACATTTTTCATTAACAATGATGTTTTTAGTGTCTAACCTTCTTCCTATACGTATCCCTGAATGATATGGCAACTTGAGCATTCTTGTATGCATATTTATCTTTTAGTATGACGGAATCGTGCATGTTGTGATATATTATGTATGTAATTTATTTAGCACATATGTATCAACACCATATCTTATAAAGTCATTGCACAATCCAATCCAGTCCATGCATATTTCAGGTTTTAGCAAGTTTAATGTACGTTACACAGTACATTTGTGGCTTTCCACTGGGCTCGGGGACATTGCACATGTGAACTTCTTGCATATGTAGCCTGTCAAACACTTGTAATTGATATTATTGATATTATATTTCTAATTTATTTGCACCATTTCTTTTTGGCACAATAGATTAGGAGAATAAGTTGGGGCATATGAAGGGTATTGCAAGCAAAGAAGATTACATGACTTAGGGGCATATAGGTGTAATAGGTCATTTTATGTAAAAGCCATAATTAATAAGGAAATGGTGCAACTGTTATGATATTTCCATTTTTAGGGAAATGCTAGAAACGAAGGAAGTACATTTAGATCATTTTGCAACAAACAGGTTGGGATTCATATGTGAAAGAAATGTAGTCCAAGAACCAAATTTTTGGCCTATTAGAATGTTATGAAAACATTGATTGGATTAACGTTTCTTATACAAGTGATAATGCCACATCTTTTGCAGGCTCTAGTAAGTAGAAATGACGGCGTATGGAGCAAAGAGCATGTTGCTGCTCTCCGCAAAATATGTCCTATGGTCAACAATGAGATAAGTTCTGAGACAGCTGCTGCGGAGGTGGAGGGATATGGTGCTTCAAAGCTTACTGTTGATTCAGCTGTGAAATATTTGCAGCTTGCTAACAAACTTTTTTCTCAAGCTGAGCTCTATCACTTTTGTGCTAGCATTCTAGAATTGGTAATACCAGTGTACAAAAGCAGAAGGGCATATGGGCAGCTAGCCAAATGTCACACAATGCTAACCAGTATTTATGAATCTATCCTTGAACAAGAAGCAAGCCCAATTCCCTTTGCTGATGCTACATATTATAGGGTAGGCTTTTATGGTGAGAAATTTGGAAAGCTGGATCAAAAAGAATATGTATACAGGGAGCCCCGTGATGTACGGCTTGGAGACATCATGGAAAAGCTTAGCCATACATATGAATCCAGGATGGATGGTAATCACAGACTTCATATTATTCAAGATTCTAGGCAAGTGAAGGCGGAGGAGTTGCAGCCTGGTGTCTGTTACTTGCAGATTACTGCTGTTGATCCTGTCATGGAAGATGAAGACTTGGGTAGTAGGAGAGAGAGGATATTTTCCCTATCCACTGGAAGTGTACGTGCTCGTGTGTTTGATCGATTTTTATTTGATACCCCCTTTACTAAAAACGGGAAGACTCAAGCTGGATTAGAGGATCAGTGGAAACGGCGTACAGTTCTTCAAACAGAAGGCTCGTTTCCTGCTCTTGTTAACAGGCTTTTGGTGATAAAATCTGAATCTATGGAGTTCTCTCCTGTGGAAAATGCGATTGGAATGATTGAAACTCGGACAGCTGCACTTCGAAATGAACTTGAAGAACCTCGAAGCTCTGAAGGGGACCAGTTACCACGTTTACAGAGCCTGCAGAGAATATTGCAAGGCAGTGTGGCAGTTCAAGTGAGTATTATGAAATCTTTGCCTATTTTAGCCTGTCATATGATGCTCTAATCTTTCTGTCTGTGACCTAGTTGCAACATGTATGTGATAGTAAGTGTTCTGGTTTGTTAATGCCTCAATAGTTTAGATCTTACAGTGAAGTAGTTGCCTCAAGCTTATTGAAAAGTTTGTATGCAGATGTTCTTCATGATGCATCATATTCCTCTTTTCTCACATGTAGTCCTTAGTCTTTGAAGGTCTAACGTAGTCTTGTTTCAATGGAGAGAATGAAGGTTGAGGCCATGTATGGGGATTCTTCCAATTCTCTCCGTGTGTTAGTTCTATCATTTTTCTTATGTGGCTTATAATTGACTGAAGAAACACCTTTTCCACATTAGCAGGTATTTTACTGCTAATCTTTATAGAGCATTTATAATAACCTTATATAGACTGGGAAAATCTCAACAAATAGATGAACGAATTGAGACAATCCCCAAAAATTATGTAACTTGGACTATGATATTTTGTTATTATCTGAAGTAACCGTTACAAATTCTTTACTCAGGCCAAAATTATGTACAAGTTCATAAAAACACGTTGCCTGCTGTATTACTCAAGACTCTTCATTTCACCTCGAGATCATGTGAGATCTTCGATACTTTGACTTGGGTGTGGGCACGTCGTTATGGGCTAAACTCATGGACTTTCTTGAAAAAAAAAAAAAAAAAAAAAAAAAAAAAACACATCTGACAGTTGGGTGTATACCTGTATCCAACACAAATAGCATGTTTGAGTAACATAGAAATATAATGTTCACATGAGTTTCTGAGTCTGAGCGACACCTTTTGGTTTTAAATGTGTAATGTGTGGTAATTTGATGAATCCTGATATTGGAAATTGCTCCTTGCAGGTAAATAGTGGAGTGTTGAGTGTGTGTACTGCTTTTCTATCAGGTGAGCCTGCAACTAGGCTTCGTTCGCAGGAACTGCAGCAACTCATTGCTGCACTTCTTGAATTTATGGCTGTTTGTAAGAGGGCAATTAGAGTACACTTCAGGTTGATTGGAGAGGAAGACCAGGAGTTCCACACTCAGCTCGTAAATGGATTTCAATCACTTACGGCCGAGTTATCTCACTACATTCCCGCCATTCTTTCAGAGCTCTAACAGTCTTGTTCATTGTTTGATGTGTGCATAAGATAATCTATTTTTTTTTCATGCCATCTGTAGATGTTACCCTTTTTCCAATGTATTTAATGTCATCATCTGTAAAATCATTCTCTTCTGATATTAGACATCACAAATACAGTGTATGTATTCCCAAGTTTCAAAATCATTAAGAAGCTTAACGCTTCTCTGTTTTCATTCACGAATTTTGTTGCTTGCATATATTACTCCCTATGTTCTTTCATATTCTAAATAGTGATTACGCAATTTAAGAAAATATTGATGATGAGTTAACATAAATTGAATAAGGTAAGAGAGAACGTAAAAACATGGGTGAGTGAAGAAAAAGAGTGAAAATGTGTAATTATTATAGTGTTAAAGGGTAACATAGTAAAATAAATAGACTTGACATAAAATAAAGCAAAATAACCAAAGCAAATTAACTCTTTTTAAACTCCGTGTGAATACAAGTGATGCATTTAAAAAAAATAAAAAATTAGAAAGAGTAGTTTTAAGGGTACTAATCCGGTACATGAAAACTATTCATTTGAAAATTGCTTTAAAATGGTGTTGCTTCTAATGTAAACCTTTTGAGGATTTTGTGGGGAGGGCGATGAGGATACTCAACATTTGTTCAGATTGTGTGAATTTGCAAGAATACTTGGAGTTGTGGAAGTCTAGGCATCCCGCATCCATTCATAATTCAACGAGGACCTTTCATTGAAGGACCGAGACATCTTCTATATCCATTCATAATAACCAGGTGTTGAGAATTGAGTTAGTGACAGTATACTCCATTCAAGCTATAATTGATCCTGGAATGATGCAGCACCAATTGCTAACATCAGCAATTTGTGATCCTCTTCAAATACTTCACCCACTCGACAATTTTTCCAATTTGCAAATAATTTGAAACGGAGGTAGTAGTTTGAAACAGATGACCATGTACTTAGACATAACAGTCATTTTTATAAATATAAAATTACATGATTGCAATTTTACTTTGAGTCACTAACTACATATATGTCATATTATGCGAAGTATATATTAATTTGAGGTAGGGAACAAATACTATTTCATGAATTTGTAGAGATCATTATGGTATAGTTTGATCCATCCACTCATAATCTCAACTTCTCTTTTTCGTTGGTTAACCAACCATTCTGGATCATCTTTCTTTGCAGAAAATATGTCCAAGCAATGAGATCCTGTTATATAACAACATAATATTCCACAAGTGAAAAACATAACAAATATTTAATTAATTAATTAAAGAGTGAACAAAATTAGTTAATTAAAGAGTGAAAATTTATAATTACTAATATAATTATTAACCTTGTTTTGTATAAATGGCAACGATGCTATCGGACAAGTTGTGCAGCACCCTATAGATCAACGTACGTAAAAGGTAAGAAAAACAAAACCGTATAAAAATAAGATTGCGAGTTATCGTTCGATACTACAAGTGAAATCTATAACTATATACTAAATACTAAAAGAGAATAAAAAAAATGACATGTGTTGAAATCTAGTTAATTCCATTTTTTTTTTTTTTTTGCCAAATGAAATTAGGAAATATTTAATTTCTTCAACAATTAATTAAAAATTTATTCTTTTTATAAAAAGGTATAATGTAGTCCATAGTATTCATTGAAATTTCCTAAATAATAAACTTTAGGTTATACCCGAATGATAGACAAATTTTATATTAATAATTATGAATATTTTTTTTTTAATAATAATATATACTTAAATTTCTATATGTAGATGCAAAAAAATATTGATTTTGGGAGGAAAAATATATAATTACAGTAAAATTAAAATATTGATTTTGGGAGCAAAAGATATAATTTATTTGGAATGATATATAACTTGAATGTAATGGTAAAGTAGGAAGAAAATTATTATATTACATACAAATTATTGTAAGCCTTTATAAAATTTGGTAAAATCGTGCATAATACGAGATTTAAACTAGTACATTATACATGCAAGCTACAAGGGATTGTAGGCCTATAAAGACAACTACCGAGAGATTTTATAGTTTGTAAACGATGTAGTTTGATTATATAACGTGGTATTAGCCAACAAACAATAATACGGATTACTTTATAGTTTATAGTATAGCTTACCACTCGAGTTACTTTAATGCATTGAAACAAAATGAATTTTATTCTCTCTTCGTTTTTGTTCTTACTTTACTTTAAGAAAACATGTTTGGTAGGATGAACAAAAACGAACGGAACAAATAATTAACTGTAGATGTAGTAAGGAACTTGATCAGGAAGAAAATTACCCAGCACTACTGTAAGGATCTTTGAGTCCATTAGAGAAAATAATGTTACTGCCAAATCTTTCCAAGACTAGTTTCATATCCTGGTAATTTTTAAAAAAAAATATTGAAAATTAATAAATAATAAATATAAATTTTATTTTATTTTGTTTTTATTTATTTATTTATTTTTATTTTTTTTTGCAAAAGACTATCAAAAGAAAAAGCTAAAACAATTAATGACGGTGAGCACATCCAACCAACCATGAGCAAGATTAACCCATGATATAAATTAATTAAAAAAAATTGCTAAATTAATTTAGATATATTGAAATTTGACATACATGTCCACCATAGTTAGTTGTAATCCAATGAGGGCGAGGAACAACATTGTATTTCTTCTTCCATTTTTGGATGAATTCTTGTATACTGAATTTTTGAGGAGGAAACATAGACAATTTGCTAGTACCTCGAACAACTGGCATCACCATCTCGCTACATGTCTGCAACACAATACAGACATTAAATTGTAAATAACGATGTTGTAATTATTTTCAAGAATAATTGTAATATAATTACAAAATTAAATTGTAATAACATCCCATCAAAAAAAAAAAATGTAATAACATGAAATATACAATTTTAACTAGATGAGATATAAAATGGATCATTAAATTTTAATTTTAACTAAGGTTTAACGAGGGCAAAAACAAATGAAAATATAACATTAATTACATTGATTTGCGCGTGATTTTTTCATAAATTTCTAAATTAATACTCTATCAAATAAGAAAAGGTATTGAATGCTTATTTATAGTCTAAGGGCTACATATAACATTACCCTTTATATTTTTTATGATAGAGTATAAAACATATTCTTAGGCCTCAACCATCAGCTTAAACTTTTGGTTAAGTTGGTCCTTTAACATTATCGAAGCAAACGTGACAAAAAGGTCAAGAGTTCGAATCTCTAATTGGTCTAAGCTGCACCCTTGTGCAGCTAGAAACCAGCCCACAAACCCAATTTCAAACGCGCCCCATTAAAAAAAGGCCCAAACCAAAACGAGCCCACCCAAAAAACTAAACATATCTTTAAAATGCAGCTCACCCAATTGTCATTTATACAAAACCGTCACTTCCAACAGCTATTTTTTGAAAAATAGCATTTAAAAAAAAAATCATCACTCTCATACTAACATTTCTGAAATTTATTACTCCTCTCTTTGATTTTCTCTCTCTTACAATCAAACACAATTCACTCTCTCTCCTCCAAAACAACCATGGATATTTGAGATGAGATGAAAATCAAACGGATTCTCCCAAAAAAGGTAATTTTATGTAAATTTCACTTAATTTTGTTTGAATTTATATGAATATCACTTAATTTTGTTTGAATATTGTTCGATACTCTGTTGTTCAAAATTTTTATTGGAATTGTTAAAAAATTTAGTGAAATCAAACAGATACCTTATGTTCATAAAATGTTTTGAAATGTTCATAATATTTTTATTTGTTGTTCATGATAAATATTCTTAGTGTTTATAAAATGTTCTCATTTTGTCTTTTTTGTCAGTTTATGCTTGTGTTCATATTTTGAATGCTTATATTCACTTTCTGAAATGCATATGTTCATATTTTTTATGCATATGTTCACTTTCGTTCTTAAATGCTTATATTCAGATTTTGAATCCTTTTGTAAACTTTCTGAAATGCTTATGTAAACTTTCTGAGATACATATGTTCACTTTCTGAAATCCATATATTCATATTTTTTATGTATATGTTTACCTTCTAAAATGCTTAATTATGTTCATACACATTCAAAAAATGAATCAATACATATGTTCATATTTTGAATGCGTATGTTCATTTTCTAAAATGCATATATTCATATTTTTAGTGCACATGTTCATATTTTTAATACTTATAATGCGTATGTTTCATGAGCATTTTATTTTTATATCTTCAATTTTCTTATGTTCATAATTAAAGGCCGTAAATTCAATTCATATGAATTGCATGTTCACAAAACTAATCAAATTGATCAAAATTCATTACAAAATCACCACAAAAAAAAAAAATCGAAATTCATACATAGATCAAATTGATAGAAATTAAACAAAATACAGTTATAGAGGAGAGAGAATATGAAGAACGAAAGAGGAAAAAACAAAGGAGAATAAAATTTTGATGAAAATTATGATCGAAATTTTGATGAAAATTTTGATTAAAATTGTTATAGGAAAGAAAAGTGAAGAGAAAAGTACTACAATCAATTTGTGTTCATCACCTATTACAAATTGGCAAATTACCCAAAAATTATATATGCAATATCAATCACAAATTCAGAAAATATAACCAACTAAACCAAATTACAAATCAATAACATAAATTAACTTATATCAACAATCTCTTCAAGATTCCAATTAAATCCATCACGAATCAATGAAAATACAAAAAATGGAGAAGAGAGAAAATCTTAAAAGAAGAAGATAATGCCAAACACAGTGGAGAGAGAAAATTTCAATCAAAATTAAGAATTAAGTAAAGAATTTGGAAAAAAGAGAAAAAGTTATGTAAAAATTAAGAAATAAGGAAAGAAATAAAATAGGAAGAAGATTGGAGGAAGGAGATGAAGTAATATATACTAGTACTCCAGTAGTACATAGTATATATGTGTGTTTGGTGTATAAAAGGGGGTATTTGATGAGTGGTGCAGCCAGGGTGCATCTAAGAATATGTCTCGAATCTCATCCACCCCCCACTAGCCCAAAGGGCTCTCATGTGAGGGGGCGTAATAGAGTATAAAACATATTCCAAAATATGCAATTTGACTAAACAATTTCTAAGTTGATTAAATTATAAAGAAAAAAAAAATTAATAACAACAATATTAATCAATTACGTACCTGCCAATCATAACCAAGATTAGTTTCAACTGAATAATCATCAAAGTAATTGGTATTAAAACAATTGTGATGAGTTCCATTAAAATAGGCATGAACTCCTGCATAAATACGGCTAAGTATGTCATTTCCCTTCTTTCCTTGATCAATTGCTTTGCAAATTATGGATGGATTATTGTCCGTGTCACTATATTGTGCTACATCATCGTACATGTTCTCCAAGAAGTCCTTCAACGTCCTTGTTTCCTGTAATTGGCTGCATGCACCTCCAAAAGATCAAATCTTTGAATGTCGATCTCAGATCGAGCTTCCGTTTCATATTATCTAATCACTTAACTAAAATTTTAATCAGTAATTATAAGACACACGAGTTATTTGTAAATTTTAAAATATCAATCGAAGCAATTTAAGGAACATTATTCTTTTTTATGACGTTCTCAATTCAGTTGTTTTGAGAGATGACTTAACAAACCCTCGAGTTCTATGTAAGTTTTTAATACCAATTTACATACAATAATAACCAACAACTAAGAATACTCATATTTAAGAGCTAGTTTATTTGTAATAATAATTATAATAATAATACAAACACATACTCCATACTAGGTAAGTATTTTTTTTATTAATTTATACCTCGCACTCTGTATATATATAAAGTGTATTAACATTTTGAAATCGAGGAAATACTACGTACTTACCTACAAGTTTTGAATTTGTTACTAAGGTAGGAGAGACCCTTTGGCGTTGATCCAATTTTGTCGATTTCAGCCCACGAAGATTTGATGGTGTTATAGCAATTCTCACTCGCTTCCTGAATGATTAGTAAGTAAAACTATATGATACAATCCTTAAATTTAATTTTGGAAAGAAATGTGAATGTTATTAATAATTATTCTTAGGTCCTGTTCACTTCACCTTATTTTTGTTGAATTGAAATTATTTTTACTAAATTAAAATTATTTTTGCTAAAATGAAATTTCTTTTATTGAACTTAAATTATTTTTATTGAACTAAAACTATTTTAAGTAATTCATTCTGTTATATATTTTCTTTAATGTTACTGATTTTAACTGATTATCTGTTATATTTCTTCTTTAAAGTTACTGGTTTTTACTGAACTGAAATTATTTTTACCGAATATAATTTTTTTTTAAGGTGAAATGAACAGGGCCATACTCATTAATTTACCTTGAAATCATTGGTTACGACGTAATAGTAACCGTGATTTTGCTCAATCATGTTATCGAAATATAGCACCGGAGCTGAGGCTGCTAGAGCACCAAGAGCAATATGGGGATACTTGAGTCGAAACCATGAAGCAAGCACTGAAAATGAAAGGATAAAGATTATAGTTATGAGGGAAATTGTTTCTACGTTATTCGTAGTTCAGACCAATAATAAACTACTATAGTAGATACATGATATTTACTCCGTAATTATCTAATGCAATTTATGATTAGGGCGTATTTCTAATAATTACCTGGCTATTATATCAATAAAACGATTGAACTTCAATGACAACTCACAGTATTATTTTTAAATTTTTGTTGATTATTGGTTAAACCGAATTTAACACTAAGTAAACCACTAGCTAGTGGCTAGTTTCAAAAAGTGTCGTGTAAAACGGTTCTTTTAGGTGACATAGAAATATAAAATCAATGACCAAGGCATCAATAAATGTCTAATCTCAAATTCTCAATGCAAGTCTTAACCTCGTACGTGTCCTCGATGATGTAGGTAGATATGCTGAATACTTGTATCCACATGATATATAGTTTAGGTTGCACTGATACGGACACGGATATAGGTACGATATGGACACGGAAAAACGACAATTCTAAAATAGGAGACACGGGTATAACAAATAACAAGACAAATAATATATCAAAAAAACAAGATTTTGACAACCTATTCAACAAAACACTAAATAATTAACCTTAAAACAAGTCATTTACCGTAGCTAAATAATATCTCCAAATTCACATAGAATAATGTGCTATGAAATGTGTTTTGAAGACGCTCGTATTATAACTCTTACCTTTTTCTCTCATTTACCTTAACTTTCTAATTAAAAAAGTTAAAAAGATGAGGTGACATATCAAAATGCAAACCGGATCGTATCATACTAGGATACGATTCGTCTCAAAGTGTCTAAATATATTAAAAAACCGCATGCAATTTTTATGTGTGTCCGTCGTGTATCGAACGAGTGTCAGTGTCCGACACGATATCAGACACGGACACAGCTGTTGGACGAGGTGTCTGTGCATCCTAGTATATAGTTATATACTATATTGTTGTACATATAAACATTGGTCTATTTTTTTGTTTTCTTACAAAAATAAACATTAGATATGGATTTTATTCATAAGACAAGACAACAATATAGTCTATTCATTTGAAAGGGAGAAGTGTTATAAGAAAAGTTGAACGCAGTTATTATTTAAAAGTTAATTAAGAAAGTTGGACTCACTTCCACCGTAAGAACCTTCGAAAACAATAACCGGGGAATAAGTTGCATTTAGTCTTTTCTTCAAAAACAAAATAATTTCAGCAGAATCAGCAAGAGCCTGGGCAGAATTGAAATACCCACGAACGGTTGTATTTTTAATGATTTCTTCCATTGACATTCCAAATGGCTTCGACCATCCATAATATCGATGCTTCAAATCACCAAAAAAAATAAAAATAATTATTCATTAGTTAAATATATAACAATACACATAGTATTAGAAAAACTTTATACTTAAGGATTTGTATGATAAGGTCTCACAATGATGTCTTACTCGAGAAAAAATATGTAGGTTTAGACATTGTTTTATTCACCTTAAAAATATATATACAGTAAAACTAATCTAATTTCATCAAAAATAATTTAAGTTTAATAAAATAAAAATATTTTCAATTCAGCAAATAAGGTAAAGAGAACAGGGTCTTAGTTGAATTTTCATTAAGCTTAGTTTAATAATGATACACTCCTCGCTCTTTTCCTCTAATAAGGGTTAGTTCTCTTTGCCTTATTTTCGTCGAATTGAATTTTTGTTTTTTTACCGAGCTTTATTGATTTTTACCGACCTTAGTAAATTATTTTTACTATACTTAAATTATTTTTATTGAAATGAAATTATACTAACTGAATTGATATTATTTATACTGATTCTCTAGTGTATTTGTTCTGAAAAGTTATTGATTTTTAGGATTAAAAATTATTTGTACTGATGAACTAAACTTATTTTGCTAAATTGAGCTTGCTTTTACTATTTTAATTGAATATTATTATTTTAAGATGGAGAGAACAAAGCCTTACAAATATTTTCTTCAACAACATTTAGTATGGCTATATGCCTATAACCCTATATATATTGGTTTTTTTCTAATTAAATACTCCCTCTGTCCCTATTTTTTTGCTCAATGGAGCAAAAAATTGCGTCAAATTTCAAAGAATTTGACCTTAAATTCCTATTGATCAACAAGAGATAATATATTCATGTGGGGTCTTTTTGGATTCATCTTATTATACTTCGTATAATTTTATTAATATCAAGTTTTATAATTTTACACGTATAGAAATAAAGTTATATACATTGCAAGACGCATCTTGGAAACCGTGTAAAGTTTAATGGAGCAAATAAACAAAAAATAATAATAAAAAAAGGGACAGCGGGAGTATTATGTAATATTAATCATTTGGACCCCTTCTCCCCAAACAAACACTCATGTACTTAATTAACATACTTACCTCAATAATTACCACAAGAGCCTTAAATTTTGCAGCATAATCTGGAAGAATTAACCAATTAATTTCATCATTAAACATTGGCTCTTCATCTCCAAAATGCACAAATATAGGATAATTATCCTTTGCTCCTCCCCAGTGTTTGGAATACATCATATACTTTTGTTTAAATGTCACATAACTTTCTTGTTGATAATTGAAGTGATCTAGTGTTTGAGGATAATACAAGACTTTCAAATCTTTGTGTATGGTAGTTTTAGTTGTACTAAAGGTGCTATACATATCTTGTTTGTGCCGGATTTTTCGCCGGACTCCACCAAGCCATGGCCTCGCCGGAGTTGATACAATAGTAGAAAAGAAGAAAAAGAGAAACCATATTGAAAATTTGAACAACTTTTTTAGAGAAATCATTTCTATGTGTTTTATCAAGGTTATACACAAAATGCTTCCTATAATGTGGTATATATATTTGTGAATGTGAACAAAGTATTATTCATGTGGAAATAATGGTTCAACTTTGAGCATCTTACTTTAATTTCAAGAATAAAAAAAATTGACTAATTTCTACCCTTTAATCATACGTTACTAAGTGGATGGACAACTATAAAAATTGATGAAATTTATGCAACAAACTCATGCAGTTTCATTGCTTTTTAATATGGTTATTTGAGTAGTAAGTGGTTTAGTCTTTATAAGGTGATGTACACGTAAAAAGAAGCCATAAAAATGGTCCACTACCATGTTTTCCCATTGAACATGCACTATAATCTTTTCTTTTGCATCTTTTTTTGTGAATTTTGATTGGAAAATGACATTATGCTTTTTACTAAAGTATAATTATTGAAAAAGTTGAAGACTTTTATTGTAATAATGTTCTTTCAAACTAATAACTATTCTGTCTATTCATGGGTTATAAAATGGTGGAACACGAACGTCACATGTTGGCGATATCAGTGACTAGAACTTGGAAGGATGGTCAAATATACAGTGACATAATTACACAAGGCATTAACATATTTATCAAGTCGCTAAGGCTCCCATTAAGTAAGATAGTGTTCTTTTGGTCAAAATTTCATCTGGCTATCTTATAGTACTAACTTATTAGCCCTAAACTTTCGTTATTAAGATTTGAACTTGTCTTATCTGAATGTATAGATATTATTATTATGATTATGATTATGAAAAAGATATTATTATTATGATTATATCTTAAAGGTTATAACTTAAAGTTTAGTGCTTATTAGTCATAAACTTATTTAATGTTCATTAATAAGGTCATGTAATCTCTTTTGATAATGCAAGATATTTAGACATATGATATCCTATCGGTTATTTATAGAATAGTGTACTTTTTGTAGTTTTCTTTGTAAATAGACTAAATGAAGCCTGTGCGATGCACGATTTTTTTTTTTATTTTTTCAAATAAAATATTTTACTAAATTTATATTTATCTAATAAACTTTGTGGTATTCGCTTGCTTACTACTCCATCCGTCCCTTAATTAGATGTCTAGCTTCCTTTTTAAGGGTTTCAAAATTAGATGTCTATTTCCTTTTTTATTAAGTGATTTTTTTACCAAATTATCCTTATTCTCCAAATTTATTATGATTTTGATTTGATTTGATTTTGATTTGACTACGATAATGAATTAGAGATTATGATTATCAATTTGATTAGGATATGATGTTTATCATGGTATGATTATGATTATGATTATGAATGGATTATGATTTGATTTTTACAATGATATGATTATGATTTCAGATGAATTAGATATTATTATTATGATTATGAATGGATTATGATTTGATTATTACAATGATTTGATTTTGATTTGACTATGATAATTAATCAGAGGTTATGATTATCAATTTGATTAGGATATGATGTTTGCCATGGTATAATTATGATTATGATTATGCTATGATTATAAATGAGATATTATGATGTAATTTCAGTTGAATATAATATGATATGAATGTGATTTCAGATGATATGATTATGATATGAAATCAGATGACTATGATTTAAATATGATTATGATTATGATTAAGAATGGATTATGATTTGATTATTACATTGATTTGATTTTGATTTGACTTTGATAATGAATCAGAGATTATGATTATCAATTCGATTAGGATATGATGTTTATCACGGTATGATTATGATAATGATTATGATTATGAATGGATTATGATTTGATTTTCACAATGATATGATTATGATTTCAGATGAATTAGATATTATTATTATGATTATGAATGGATTATGATTTGATTATTACAATGATTTGATTTTGATTTGACTATGATAATGAATCAGAGGTTATGACTATCAATTTGATTAGGATATGATGTTTGCCATGGTATGATTACGATTATGATTATGCTATGATTATAAATGAGATATTATGATGTAATTTCAGTTGAATATAATATGATATGAATGTGATTTCAGATGATATGATTAAAATATGAAATCAGATGACTATGATTTGAATATGATTATGAATGGATTATGATTTGATTATTACAATAATTTGATTTTGATTTGACTATGATAATGAATCAGAGATTATGATTATCAATTCGATTAGGATATGATGTTTATCATGGTATGATTATGAATAGATTATGATTTGCTTTTTACAATGATATGATTATGATTTCAGATGAATTAGATATTATTATTATGATTATGATTATGAATGGATTATGATTTGATTATTACAATGATTTGATTTTGATTTGACTATGATAATGAATCAGAGGTTATGATTATCAATTTGATTAGGATATGATGTTTGCCATGGTATGATTGTGATTATGATTATGCTATGCTTTTGAATGAGATATTATGATGTAATTTTAGTTGAATATAATATGATATGAATGTGATTTCAAATGATGTGATTATGATATGAAATCAGATGACTATGATTTGAATATGATTATGATTATGAATGGATTATGATTTGATTATTACAATGATATGATTATGATTTCAGATGAATTAGATATTATCATTATATTATGATTATGAATGGATTATGATTTGATTGTTACAATGATTTGATTATGATTTGACTATGATAATGAATCAGAGGTTATAATTATCAATTTGATTATGATATGATGTTTGCCATGGTATGATTATTGATTAGGGGATTTTTCCCTACCAATCACCATCTGACAAGTGGACCAATCAGGTTATGCCATGTGTCCACCACATGGGCCAATAGGAGTCTGCCACGTGTCAAGCATTGATCTGTCCACCATGGACCAGTCACGACACGACACGTATCCTCCCCATGGCACATGGGAAAACCGGCCACCTAGGCCCAAACCTTGGAAGAAGGCCAATCAGCCCTAGGTTAACATAGACCTAGGATTTGGCACGCATCCCAAGGCATATAAATATGATCATTAATCCTCATTAGGGGGGAATTACGTTCATTAATTACTCTCACCTAGAGAAAACACTCTACCTTTTTTCCGCATTAATTACTCCTTAAACAAGTACTAACTTGACCGTCGGAGGCGGAGCTCCAACCACTCGGAGTCTCCGTTTGTTTTGCAGGTATAGGCGTACGGTTCCAGTCTCGGAGTTGTAACTCTCCCGTAGGACATCAGAAAACCCCGAAACATTTTGGCACCGTTTGTGGGGAGAGTACTTTCGAGATGGCAACAAAGTCTGTACCGAATCCAGAAGAGAGGCGTCTAGAGGACGACCCTCAAGTATACTCAGACCATGATACTGAGAATGAGGTTGAGGTTGAAACACACACGGCCTCACCCGTCACACCGAAAGGAAAGAACGGGTAGATCACCAAGCTGGACCCAGTAATCCAGCCGGTACACCGCCTGATCAGCAACAGGCGGCTGAAGGGTCTGCTCCCATTACAAGAAACGAGCTCATGACCTTCATGAGGGGGTTCAAGGGGGAGATCCAAGAGTTGATTAATAAGAAGACGCCTGCTTTCTCTAAGGAGCAGTCGGCCAGAAAACCTTCTCATTCAGGAAGAAGGAAGCCTGTTCAAGGTCGGGAGGAGACCCCCCACCCTAACTCTAGGAAGTGGGAGCCGCCTATGATTGACTTGACAAAGTACCGTTTTCCCTCACCAGGGAAGAGGAAGCCCTTTCGTCATGTACAAGCGGATGGGTCAAAGTAACTCTACTCAGATGCTCGGCTACTGCTAGAGCAGAAGAGGAATGACCGACTGTCAGAGTCGGCCTCCACTTCAGACTTCCAAGATAGTCTGCACAATACCTCTATGAGGTATACTCAGTCAAATCATGAGAGTCAGACAGGCGGTACCTCCCGTCAGTCTGGATTTCATAAAGAGCAGGCGGTACCAAACATGCCATACGTACCGCAACAACAATACTTCTTGCAGCCTCCTCTGTTTGGAGGACAGGCGGCAAAAGGCGTCCAACCTTTGGACTGGCAACTACGGTTGCTAAGACTTGGAGAACAACTGTCTGCCTTCTCCAAGGAAATTACAGAGGCCGCCCAGCCGGCCAAAGTTAAGAATGTGTTAGTAGGCGCCTATGACGACACTACTAACCCTGAAGACCATTTGATGGCGTTCACCAACCTAATGTACCTTCAAGGGTTGGATGATCCCACTTGGTGCAAGTGTTTTCCAGCGACTCTCAAGGGAATCGCACAACAATGGTTCGGCAACCTGCCGACTGGTTGCGTGAACAATTTCAGGACGCTTGCTTACTTGTTCATCTCCAACTTTGCTATGAACATTCCTGCAAAGAAGACGACCCTTGATTTAGGAACAATTCAGCAGGGAGAAAAGGAGGGGCTTCGTTCATACATCAGGCGGTTCAACCTGATGAGGATACAGATTCAAGGGCTGCCGGATGAGGTAACTTACACTGATTTTTTCAGAGGTCTCAAGGATGGCTCGACCTTCAAGTTTGACCTGGTTCAAAGAGGGTTGCAACTCTCCAAGAAGCTTTGATTGAAGCAGAAGCCTATATACAGGCGACTGACCTCTCAATACTGGGAAGCAGTCGGACGGACGGAGGTCCGACAAAAAAGAAGCCGACCAAAACATTCGGCTAATAAAGGTGAGAAAAAGAGAAAAGAAGTCTGGGCTGCCGACTACTCTAAACAGCCGGCCCAGAAAAAGAAGAAAGAGTTCAAACCATATTCCCCGAAATATGCGTTCAGCAAAGATAGTCAGGCTATCTTAAAGGAAATTAAGAACCAGATCTCAATCGAGAAGCCGGCCCCCATGAAGGGTTCTGCAAGCAATCGGAACCAAGACAAATTCTGTCATTATCATGAAGACGTTGGTCATGAAACCAACAAATGTATCAGCCTCATGCGCTACCTGGACCGCCTTGCTGAACAAGGCGACCTTGACTCCTATGTCAAGAAGTCCAACGGGAACACTTCCTCAAAGAACAAGCAGTCGGCCAAAAAGAATCATCAACAAGCCGACAGTTCTGATACAGATGATGCAGTCGTTTACACTATTGCAGGCGGCTTCTCAGGAGGCGGCCCCACTATCAGGGGCAATAAAGACAATATCAGGCGGCTGGATGTTAATTCCGTTCATCAAGAACGGACCGCCAAGAGTTCATTCCCAGAAATTGTCATCACAGAAGAAGATC